TTTGTTTCTCTGTCTCTCTCCCCAGACTCTTACATTTCTGTATGTCTCTGTTTTTTGTCCTTTTCTGGCCTGTTGTTTGCTGTAACTCTTTCTTGACAAATCTCACAAATCAGAATAAAGGCGATGCCCAGGACTGTGGCGTCCTGCTGCTGCTCCTGGGCTGTTGCCCCCTCCTTCCTCCTCCTCTTCTGTTGGCTCTTGTTTCGACATTTTCCGTCACCTCTCAGACAAAGCCAAACACAAATTGGCAAACAAACACGACAGAAGCGGACGAGCAACGAAAGGATTGTTTGGAGGAAAGGAAGGAAAGCATTGCCCCAGGCATATACATATGGGATATATGTAGGACATACTAGGCAGGAGCTCCCGTTCTTCCAAGGCTCTCCTGCTGCCTGATGCCTGCTGCCTGCTGACTGCCGCCTCGTGTGTGGCTCTATTTGCTTTTCTGTTCTGTTCTCTTTTCTTGTCTTTTCTGTTCTCTCTAGTGTTCTGTGTTTTCCCTCCTGTTATCCCCGTGTTCTGTTGTGTGTTTTCCGGGCCCCTAAAAAACACAGCCTAAACAAAGGTCCTGCCGGGGTTCGGGCCTACTGGATTCTGGATTCTGGATCCTGATTTCGTTGATCGTTTCTCTCTTGCCACTGCCTCTTGCACTGCCACTGCCCTGGCCGCCATTCAATTGACCGTTGCAACAAATCGTTGCAGCAAGGCTCAGCCGGGGATAAGCCATGTTGTATGGCAACACAGAAGAAACCGAGAGAGAGGACAGGGCCACACCACCCCCCACTCCTCCACCATGTCCTTTTTTCTGCTCACTTTTTTCGTGTCCTCTTCACACGCCTCGCTTCTCTCTCTCTCTCTTTCTCTCGTTTTCTCGCTTTTTGCGATGATTGCTGATGCGCATTTGATTGCTTCGACTCTGAGGTACCTATGATCCTACGATCCTACGATCCTTTAATATTTTTTTGCAACCTGTGATCCTCTGTGATCCTCTGTGATCCTTGGCGATCCTTCTGTCTATGTTCAAGCTCTTGGAAAATCGTTTTTTACGCCGCATTTTCCTGCATTTCCTGCCAACTAATTGCGAGAGAAATCTGCTAAGACTTTGGACAGGGAATGAGGAGCAGCACATCGAAAAGGACATGGCAAGGAGGCCAGGACTTGGATCTGGAATTAGATTGATTTGCGGCCTGCCTGCCCGCCCCTGCATCGCGTATCGCATTGTGAAAGGGTGTGAAGTGGAGGGCCACTTGAAAAATCTCGTTATCCTGTCAGCGGCAGGACCCAAGCCACTTGGCTGCCGCTGCCACTGCCACTGGAAAAACTGCCAGTCATTGGCAAATGGAGCAAGCGAGCGGGTGAGCGGGGGTGCGGGTGAGCGGGGGAGCAGCTGCCACTCGCGTTTCACCGCGTATCGCTTACAGATGGAATCCCGAGCAGCAGATGAATGGGAAAGATGGAAAAGAGCAGCAGCAGCAGCCCAAAAGCAGCCACCAAAAAGCGACAAGCAGCACTGCAGGATCAGCGGCAGGCAGCAGGCAGCGCCCTTTGTTGGGCTTAGGACTCGCCGTACCCCGAGCCTTCTCAGCCTCCTTCGCATTCTCATCCCTTTTTGGGTAAAGCAAAGCACCCACTCAAACGCCTCGACGGGACTCAATTGTTGTCGAGATCAATTTGCAACTTAATTGAAATCCATTTAAAGTAATGAGAGTTACTAACTTGTCCTGCCTCCTGCCTCCTGCATCCCTGCCTCTTGCCACTGCCCCGCGACCCACGGTCCACGGTCTATTGTCCTGTGTGGCGGTGCAGTGCACCCTTTTCCAGCCGCAAAAGGGCTTTGCTTTGCTTTTCTCTGATCCCGTGCTTAAGAATTATAATCCCACGCACAGATCGCCCGAAGAGAGCGGGCGGTGGCGATGTACCTGTACTTCGACTGATTGTCGTCCTGTTCTCACAATCCATTTGCATGTCCTGCAAAATGCAAATTGTCCCTAATGTCGCTCAAGTGAGGACCAATCCTCCTGCTCCCTGTGATGCGAGGCGGCTCCTCGGGCTTTTGGAATGGGGATTCAGGAGTGGCTCACAGAAAGATCACGATGTGGTGGACTGAAAACCTGTTTTTTTGGGACACGACACGTAAAAAATATGCAAAATAAATCCCAGGCTGTGCCAGGCTGTGTGTCCAAGTCCATTAAAAGGGAATAAGTGCGTGCAAATCCTGGCCGTAGGATATTTTTCATATTATCAGAGCGCATATTACTTTATCGAGAATGAAAATGCCCCCGAACGACCCCACCTCCCCCTCGTACCCAAAGAAAACACATATGAAGTGCTCTCCCACTCTGCTGGATGAAGGGAGGGAGGATTGAGGATTGAGGATGATGATGATATCCATAACCACGCGCCTTTTTTTGCGTCTCACTTAAACCGCAATACAAACACACCCACTCGTCGGAGAGCGAAAGATACAGAGACAATATGCAGATGGAGATACAAAGATACAGATACAGGATATGCAGGAGCGTGTGTCCTCTGTCCTGCTGCTGCTGCTGCTGAACCACATTCAAGTTGATCCCCTTGTAAATCTCTAAATTGTTTTATGAACATATTGGCCAAAAAAGGTGTAAACCCAATTTCCATGCAGGTACATTTCATGATAGACATCGATCCCCTCTGGTCGATGGACATCCTTGTTCATTTGTCCATTTGTTGTTCCGGCACAGCAGGATGCACTCATGCACTGCTTCCGCCTTTTGTTGAGCCTCATTTAAACCGTACCGCTGGCCAATTTGCATTCGCACCACAAACCAAATTGATCCGCCCTAATCCTTAGTCCAGTTTCCAGCTCTCGTTCGGTTCTGTAGGTCTGCGGCAGAGGTAAAGGCTGCACTCCTTCTCTTCCTTTGAGACCGATCGACCGAAATTTATAAGCATGGGATTTGAATTTGCAAGAAAAACAAAACATTTTGATGCACGATGGACTATGCCTCCGCCTCTGCCTCTGCCTTCGGCTCTAGCTCTGGTACTGGTGCTGGCAGGGATTGGCTTTGGCTTTGGATTTGGAGTTTGCCCTTTCGGACAGAGAGGAGTGCAGAAGTGCTCGGAAAGCAGAAAAAGTAATTTAAAGTCATTGAGGCGTGGGCATGGTCGCTGAACAAGGATTGGCCTGAATATTCCTATGGATTGGAGTTCATTTCAATGAAATTACAACATCCAATCATACTATTTCATTGAAATTTCATTTCCGCATTCAAATACATCAAATCTACATTCTTGATATTTAAATGCGCCATCTACATCAGTGGCTCCCTATAATTATACCCGATACTCAAAATGAGTATTGGGGTATATTAGATTTGTGGTAAAAGTGGATGTGTGTAACGTCCAGAAGGAATCGTTTCAGACCCTATAAAGTATATATATTCTTGATCAGCATCAATAGCCGAGTCGATTGAGCCCTGTCTGTCTGTCCGTCTGTCCGTCCGTCCGTCTGTCCGTCTGTCCGTCCCCTTCAGCGCCTAATGCTCAAAGACTATAAGAGCTAGAGCAACGATGTTTTGGATCCAGACTTCTGTGATATGTCACTGCTCCAAAAATATTTCAAAACTTTGCCCCGCCCACTTCCGCCCCCACAAAGGGCGAAAATCTGTGGCATCCACAATTTCGACGATACGAGAAAACTAAAAACGCAGAATCGTAGAAGATGACTATATCTTCTAGAGTGCAAAATCTGAACCAGATCGTATAATTATTACAGCCAGAATCACGAAAACAATTTCACTCTTTCTCGCTCTGTCTCACTCTAACACACAGGTTTCATGGTCGGTTTTGCCAATTGCAAAATATGAGTTCAAGGATCTCAGAACCCATAAAAGCCAGAGCAACCAAATTTGGTATCCACACTCCTGTGATATCGGACCTTGACCGTTTCCTGTCCAAATTTCGCCACACCCCCTTCCGCCCCCGCAAAGGACGAAAATCTGAGGCAACCACAAATCTCAGAGACTATTAAGGCTAGAGTAACCAAATTTGGTGCACACACTCCCTTAAGATGTCACTATAAAACGTATATCTCAGAATTTCGCCCCGCCCACTTCCGCCCCCACAAAGGGCGAAAATCTGTGGCATCCACAATTTCGACGATACGAGAAAACTAAAAACGCAGAATAGTAGAAGATGACTATATCTTCTAGAGTGCAAAATCTGAACCAGATCGTATAATTATTACAGCCAGAATCACGAAAACAATTTCACTCTTTCTCGCTCTGTCTCACTCTAACACACAGGTAGCATAGGCGGCTTTGCTTAGAGTAAAACATTAGCGCCTAGATCTCAGAGACTATAAAAGCTAGAGTAACCAAATTTGGTATCCACACTCCTAATATATCAGACCGAGACGAGTTTGTTTCAAAATTTCGCCACACCCCCTTCCGCCCCCGCAAAGGATGCAAATCTGGGGATATTCACAAATCTCAAAGACTATTAACGCTAGAGTAACCAAATTTGGAATCCGCACTTCTCTTAGATCTCACTATAAAACGTGTATCTCAAAATTTCGCCCCACCCCCTTCCGCCCACACAAAGGACGAAAATCTGTTGCATCCACAATATTGCAGATTCGAGAAAACTAAAAACGGGGAATCATAGATCACGACCATATCTATCAGATTGCTGAATCTGGATCAGATCAGATCATTTTTATAGCCAAAAGGAACAAATCAATTTGCAGTGGCTACGCAGCGCCCGACGTCACGCTCAGACTGATTTTCTGTCTCTCTCGCACACACTCTTTGTCGTTTCGTTTAATATTAGCGCCGTCTGCCGGAAGAGAGCTATACTGACTTAGTATCGGGTATAACCGTAGAGTTGCGGTGTCCGCAGCAACTCACAACGTTCCCCCTGTGGCTTCCCGCTATTTTTGCCACTCTGGCAGCGCTTCAAACGTCAGCTGTTTCTCTCTTCTGTGGCAACGCCACAGTGTTCATGCTGGAGGTGCCCCTAGAGATGCGAAGGAACAGAAGCCGCTCAAGGAGCAGCCAGCGCAGCCGACGCGGCCGCAGGCAGAAGCAGGAGGCTGCGGTCAGACAAGCGGCATCATCGATCATGGGAGGAGGAACGGCAGCCGAGATGTGGAGCAACACGCACAGAAGGCTCTTCCAGTGGCACCACATGCAGGTGCAGCGTCTGTGCCAAGGACAATATCTGCAGCAGGAGGAGCGCGAGCAGTGCCTGGAGGAGAGCTCCACCTCCGAAGCCGAAGAGGAGGCGGCGACGGCAGCTGCGGCGACAACCATCGACGAGGAATACTTGCAGTTCCTGGCAGTGACACTCAGGCATCAACAGGAGCTGAAGCAACGACGTGCTGCCGCATCGATATCCACACCAGACTCAACCTTAGATTAAGTTTAGGCTAAGATTTTGTATCTTTTTTACGCGAGTAGTAAACGTTGCCCCACGACCGCACAAAGAAAGCCGCCTTGGGATGTCTGACTTTTGCGTTCGTCGTCGGAGGCACAACTGTACTTTCTTCCAGAAACGCTTCCCTCTGTCACTCGCCCCGCCTTGTTTTTTTTTTTTAGCCAAAGGTAGACACATATGTATATACATATATATAATCATATATTTATAATCCTCGCAAGGAAATGCCTCAAGTTGGGCAGGCTAACAAAGAGTGCCACAGTGAAACATTTGGGCGTGACCGGTAAGTTTAAAACTAGTAAAGTGATGTAGATAATAAAGATTTGGAGATCGATTTATATTAAACCGATTGGTTTATCGCGTACCCTCGGAAGACCGGACTAGGATCTCTGCGACTCCAACCAGACGTGCAATGAACCGATGTTGATTTTGCTCAAATTCCTCCCATGATGGCTTCGGCATAAACTCCACGAATTTTTTCACCAAAGAGATGATAGATATGCACCACAACTCCAGGTTATTGCAATTCAGCCTGCTGATGGTGGTGAACGGAGTCGCTGGGTATGAACAAATGCGTGCAACCAACAATTTTACCTCTCGTACCTCCCTGGCGATGAGATCTTCTACATCTCCATACACCGGTGGATACACCTTATCCCGCCAATCGTTGGCATTGAACTCTAAGCTGTACGTATCTTCCAGCACGGTGTCAATAATTTCGTGATCCTGCGCAGGTGAGTATAGCTCCATAAAACAGGAAACTCTCTGGCGGCGTTCACTTCAGTCGGGTGTAAAATGAACTTGGAAGAGGTTTTCATACGCCACCCGCTGTTGGCTGCCCGTGGACGCGATGTGCGGCGAGCCATCAGATACGTGGAGCGGCAGTCCCACTTGATAGAGCTGAACTGTGGGCTTATCAACATGGTGTCAAACTTGCAATTTTTCGGGGAGCAGCCTTTTGTCCTCATTTTCGATGAGTTTCATTTCAGGCACGTACCCAACGTAAGTTCCTCTTTAACAGTCTCTTTATATCATATTAAGTAGTATATTTACAGGTGCTCCTCAGCCGCTGGAAGTCTTTGGCCATTGCAGCTGCAAATATGGACGGCACAAAATTCAAGTTTCTGTACCTGCAGGTGGTCCCTACAGACGTGCACGTTTTGGGCAGCAATGAGATATATGAAGGACTAAAAGTCGTAGTCACTTCAATTCTCAACCTGGGCTTGGCCCAAAATGTGTGCGGCGTAATATCGGACAGGTGCAGGGCCAATTTGAAGTCGCTGCAGTATGTCGCAAACTATTTCCCGGTCCTGTGGGACGAGGTCCATATGAAGAAGAAATTGGTCGCGCGGTATAAAGATACGGTGGATAGATTAGGCAAAATCTACGGAAGCACCTTTGACCGAAACACATGGAAACAGAAGTTTTCAGAAATAACCAGCAGCACGCCCAATGAACTAGAGGAGTTTAATTCAAACGAGGTTTTAAACTTAAAAAAGCTATTGGCGCTGAACTTCGCGAAATCGTCTACACCTCTTAACTTGAGCAGAGTCAATAGCTCCGATCTCGAGCTGCGTGGATTCATCCTCACCTCCCATGTGTACGATATTCTTAAATTTATCCACGTTACAGATGCGGATAAATTCACCGACATACGGGCTGCAATACAATATTTTTCCCGCGTGGTAGGCATTGTAACCGTTATATATAATTAGATATACATATATATATATAAATCAGGTGATTTTAAATACTAATGATGGGCGGACTATCCGAATCTTAAGGCTAATGTCCCTGTCCAGGACAGTCCCTTCTTAGGAGTTCTTCTGTGACCTCCGTGTAGTTGGAGAGTGTATACTCCCGGCCAGCCAGGGCATTGTAGTGCCGGCACACAGGCAACCGACAATTTAGTTGGCATAGTCCAGATCCTTGGTGAAGAGAGCGGCGGCAAGGTCGTACTCCGAGTTGTTGGCACGTTCGATGACCCCGTCGAGCTTCTTGAATCGAATCAGCTGCTGGACGGGCCCGAATATCTTCTCGCGGGCAAAGTAGCCGGGAAGGCATTCGAGACGGCTACCGCCGGCCACCAGATTGGCGCCCTGCTGGATCATGCCAAGGATCTTATCCATCTGCTCCTGGTTGATCTGGGGATCCTGCTCGGTGTTCAGATCTAAGGGTTGCCCACGGTCCTCTTCTTGGCACGCTCTGCACTGCGCTCCACGAACTCGTCGTAGATCTTATCCTCCACAAAGGTGCGAGAGCCGGCACAGCAGCACTGGCCCATGTTGAAGAAGAGGCCGAAATGGGCTGTCTCCACGGCGTAGTCCGGTCCGTGTCAGAGAGGATAATGTTGGGCGACTTGCCGCCCAACTCCAGGGTCGGATGCCAGTTGGATGAGCCACATTGACTGCTCAGCTGGCTTTAGGAAGATTGCCGGTGTTGCCGGTAGCCAGTGTGGGTCTTCTCTGTGGTCGGACTGTTGCTCCGGGGTGGTCTGGGGGGGCCACAAAAGCGCCAACGGGCGCCGCTGGCCCACGGGAAAATCTCCCCCCCCCCCACAAATCCAATTGAGATGGCACTGCTTCGATAGTCGCGACAGCTGATCGCTGGTGGTGGCAGTTTCTCAATATCGATTACGTTATTGATTAAAAAATTAATACCGATGGTTTTATATCGATGGTTTACACCGATGATTATAAATCTATCGATATTTGATTATTGTTACACCGATGATTGTAAATCTATCGATATATCGATACTGCAACGAAAAATACCGAAAATACCGAAATCCGATATCGATATCCATGCTATCGTTGCCCTGCCAACCTTTTGGAAAATGGTTGCACTGTACTAGGGCTACAACACACGCTCTCCTCACTTCTCTTGCTCTCTTCCTCTTGCACTACAACTACAATTGGAGATCCGTGTTAAATGTTCAAGAAATAAAAAAGAACCGGACTAATTAACAAACCAAACTACCTTGCGGGCTGTGTAATAGTGTTGTTAGGGTTCAGTAATACCCAAAGTAAATCGCGGCAGTAATTAAACAACTTTGTAGCAAGCGTCTGGAGCTAGCTGCCTCCGTGCGTCGTGGAACGAGGGACGCTGCAACAAAAAAAGGAGTGGTAGCTTGGGTTAAAATATAAAAACCGCCGGGTACGTACAATCATCCCAAACAGAGACTCACACAGAATTCAAATTGCACTCTGGCTGGATTCCTTGTTGTTCTGCCATATTTGTGTTTAATAATTTTGCCGCCTTTTTATGTTTCTGGCCCCAAAAAGGCATGGGCGGGGGGGCGGTTAGCCAGCGAGTCGGTTAATAAGAACAACGCAATCGCGTTCACACACACACACGCACGCATTGTATCTGTATCTCTCGTTCACCATCTCTCGCTCTCTCGTTGCCTCCACACCTCTTAACAGAGGTGACAACAGCAGAATTTAAATAGCTAGATTCAGAATAACTTATCATAAGAAATTGAATTTCATAAATCTTAAAAATGATTTTAAAGAAGAAAAACCGTTAAATTTAAATCTAAAAAAAAGCCAACTTTTTATTATTTTCTATATAAAATCATGCAAGTTATAGTTATAGTCGTCTAATGCTATCGCTGTCTTGCAGTTTAGATAAAAGACTTGGACTTAGACTTAAATTCGATTGGAATACGATAATTTGTAGCTTAAAAACATTAAAGAAAAATCAAAGTTGCAAAAAATAAGTCTGGCTTGGCTAAAGCCAAGTAACCAGCACTGCCTAGGTTAACTTGTATGTGTGCTTTCGGCTGCTTTCCGAACCCGCCGCACGAAGAACTTTTACATCGTTCGCTTTTGCCTGCTTGCTTGCCTGCCTTCTGCTGCCTCCGCGTCTCATTCATTTTTCAACCGCCGAAACCACCGCCTCTCTCACCCGCGCGCGGCGTTTTTCGATTCTGATTTTTCTACTACTGTTGCACACACACGCACGCATACATACGGACAGATGTATGTAGATGTATACGTGAGAGTGCCTGCCAGCCACCACCAACACCAGTGCAATCAAGTAATTTTCGTTATACTGGCGTCATAAGAACATACTTAAGAGAATATACATGTGTATGTATGTAAAAACTGCAACTAAATTCCGGATTGACGGGCGGGGGCGAAGGTGCCGAAACATTGTGTTTATTTGTGAAATTCGTACTCAAAAAAAGAATACCAAAAGTTATTAATCAAATGACTTTGCGGTCGACTTTACAATGTGCCTGTGTGTGTGAGTGTATGAGTGAGTAGTGTGAGATATGTGAGCGCGTCTAATCTTTATTGGTGTGTGTGTGCACATACATCCACAGAGTTCCCATTAACGTCATCATCGTGTCATTCTTGTTTGCCTGTCGGTGAGTGGCAGGGCAGGGAGAGACGCAGGGTTGCATTTTTCAAAAATTTATTAATATTACTAGAAAGATGGGAAAAAGTGCAATGCAGAGAGTGGGGGCACCAGCTCTGCTCCGGTGTAAACATAGTTTTTACTTCCAGATTTCTGCCCCTTTTTTTCATCTGCCATATGGTTGATGCGGCCCTCCCCTCCTATTAGAACCGTAATTTTGTCGAATTGGACTTTCCACTTCTGGTCATTTTTCTCTCTCTTACTCTGATTTTTCTTATTTGTATTTTGTTAAACAATTATGAAATGCACACTAATTGGCTGTAATGAAAATGTGCCTTAGTCGCGATCGTTCAGTCCTCTCGCATACTCTCTCATTCGCTCAAAATTTGAGAATTAAAAATAAAGAAAAAGACGGCAGCCACCAGGCGGCAGCAGCAGCAGCAATAATTACAGTCAGCACAACATTTATTCGGACACTCGTCTATGTCAACTTTCTTTATAAATAACTTGAAAAGTATTTAAGTTTGACAAAAAATTTTTATTTCATTGTGAACATGGATATTATTACTACGTATTTCAAAACTAAAAACAAAAAAAAACTTCTTTGGCGTATCAAAAAAAATTAAAAGTATCAAAAAAGCCACTTTTTTACGCACAACAATTATTCGGACACTTCATATTTTGTACGAAAAAAACTTATTGTCCCCAATTTTTTCTGATTTCAATATTTGGTGGGGCCGCCCTTAGCTTCAATAACAGCTTTTAGACGTCGGGGCATACTTTTTACCAAATGATTGGTTTCATTTGGATCAATTTTCTCCAATTTCGTCATCAGACCCGTTTTAAGGATTTCCTTGGAGGAAATTTTATGTTTCCTAATTTTTTTTTCTAGCAAATCCCAAACATGCTCTATGGCGTTCAGATCTGGTGACTACGGCGGCGTTTTTAACTGCTTGCACTAATACAACAGCCATTCTTGGACCAAAAACGAGGTATTTTTGGGGTCATTGTCTTGTTGAAACAAGAAATGCATCGCTTTAAGACCCAATTTTTCGACACTCGCCATTGAATTGTCAGTCAAAATTTTCTTGTAGATGTGTTTGTCCATCTTGGTCTCAATAAACACCATTTGCCCAGGTCCAGCTGCTGCTATACACCCCCAAACCATTACATTTCCACCGCCATGCTTCACTGTTGGGATGAGGTCTTTCTCTTTCATGGCTTGATTATCCTTTCTCCATACTTTGGATGGTCCATCATGTCCGAATATATTATATTTAGACTCCTCATTAAATATAACACTCTCCAAAAAAGAATCTGGCTTATTTAAGTGAAGTTTTGCGAACTCCAATCTTTTTTTTTGTTCACATCGGAAATGAAGTGAAGCATGGCGGTGGAAATGTAATGGTTTGGGGGTGTATAGCAGCAGCTGGACCTGGGCAAATGGTGTTTATTGAGACCAAGATGGACAAACACATCTACAAGAAAATTTTGACTGACAATTCAATGGCGAGTGTCGAAAAATTGGGTCTTAAAGCGATGCATTTCTTGTTTCAACAAGACAATGACCCCAAAAATACCTCGTTTTTGGTCCAAGAATGGCTGTTGTATTAGTGCAAGCAGTTAAAAACGCCGCCGTAGTCACCAGATCTGAACGCCATAGAGCATGTTTGGGATTTGCTAGAAAAAAAAATTAGGAAACATAAAATTTCCTCCAAGGAAATCCTTAAAACGGGTCTGATGACGAAATTGGAGAAAATTGATCCAAATGAAACCAATCATTTGGTAAAAAGTATGCCCCGACGTCTAAAAGCTGTTATTGAAGCTAAGGGCGGCCCCACCAAATATTGAAATCAGAAAAAATTTGGGACAATAAGTTTTTTTCGTACAAAATATGAAGTATCCGAATAATTGTTGTGCGTAAAAAAGTGGCTTTTTTGATACTTTTAATTTTTTTTGATACGCCAAAGAAGTTTTTTTTTGTTTTTAGTTTTGAAATACGTAGTAATAATATCCATGTTCACAATGAAATAAAAATTTTTTGTCAAACTTAAATACTTTTCAAGTTATTTATAAAGAAAGTTGACATAGACGAGTGTCCGAATAAATGTTGTGCTGACTGTATAACTATAACTCGAGTTTCGGATCTCGGGGGCTATATAGAATGTGAGCCAAAAGGCTAAAAACTTGTATGCGACGCGCCGTGCCGCCTGTACTCGCTTCATTCCTCTCGCTCTTTTGTGCTCTGTGCTGTGCTGTGCTTGCTCTCTCTCCCTGTCCGCCTCTTTCCCGTTCATCCGCTCTCTCAGCTTTCATTTTTTGTCTCGTTTCGCTTTATTTTGTACTTACGCTTTGCGATTCAATTCGTTTTTATTGGTTTTCCGCTTTAGGCGGCTGGGAATTGTACGTAGCGTCGTTCGTGCAAAACGTTGGGCGCGCGGTGGAGGGACCTTAGAGCAGCAGGGGAGCGTGGCAGGGGAGGAACTTCGTCGTTGTCGTTCAATGAATAATGAGAGACAATGTAAGGCAAAAAGAGCGTGAGCGTAAGTCTGTGTGTGTGAGTGCACGAGAGCGGCATAGTGTCAGCGTGAGCGAGAGCGAGAGAGAGGGGAAAAACGAGAACAACAAAATAAAGCAAAACCATACAAAAGTGCACGAAAAGCAGAAGGCTGGTTGTGGAGAGAGAGCGAGAGAGAGAGAGAGGGGCGGGGGCCGCCGCAGAGTGGGAAAGCAAGAAAGATACAACTTTTTTCTCTTTCGTCTTCTGCTGGCAGCCAAAAGCGGAATGAAGAGGGAGAGCGAGAGATGAGAGGAGAGCTCCCCCATCTAGAATCTAGAAGACGGAACGATGCACGCACATACAGGCCTCTTCTAGATATAGATACAATTAATTTGATTTGTTAGCACCACATCTCTGATCCAATCGAGGGGCCTACTCGCACCCCTGGATGTAGTATGCTGCTCGAAAATTTAAAATTTTGCATGACATCCCCCCACCGCACCCTTTCCAATTGGAAGGAGTTGGAATAGTTTGGTCTTCTTTCCTCGTTTTGCTCTGCCTCTGCCAGCAGCATTGTGACGCAGACTCGGCGCAGCTTTCGCGCGCGTGTGTGTGTGTGCGTGTGTGGCTTTTGCATATATTGGCTGCAAATAAATTTTCGCTTGATTTGCTTTTGCCCCGCGTCCGTGCCCGCTTCCACGCCCGCATCTGCATCCACTGGTTCTATCGCCCCGTCCCGTTCCGTCAGGCCATCGGCAAAGGGGGAAAACTGTACCGCGGGCCGTTTGTACATATCGCGCAAACATAAACACCAGCAACAAACTGTTGCTCTCTTTGGTTGTTATTATTACCGTTATTGTTATTTCGATGTCTCCATTTCTTCTTGTTGCAGGTGGTGTCCTCACACCCCCAAAAAAAGGAGTATATGTATAAATATATTGTTTAAGTCCGCTCCTGGAGAGCCCCGCAATATTTAGGCCAACAAGAGGAACTACCTACCTAAATGAACGGTAAGTGAGGAGGGTTTGGCTATTTCTACAATCCATCATCTAATATATACAGGGTGGCCATTATATAATTTTACTCTATTTTATTTGGTCAATGTTTTTCGCTAGGAATTTACATATATATATATGTACATATTTTTAGGACAACCATCAGTTCATATACAGTAGAATTCAATGGTACAATCCAATATGTGCATATGCATATTTTGGACATGAGATGATAAACACATGCAGACATACATCTGTATGTAAATCACGGTCGCCACACTTGGCGATGTTTTTTTCTGGTTGGCTCCTTTTTGTATCCCACCAGACTATAGTGTAACTAACTAGAAGGTTGAAGAGAGAAACCTGATGGATAGGAAGGCAGCGTGAGAGAGGAGAGGGGAATGTATAAAACGTGAATTATTAAAATCATTTTGGCGACTTTGTAATGAAGGTGTTTTGCTTTTATTGAATTCTGAATTCTTCATCTGGTAACCGTGTTAAGTGTTAAAACTCCCTAAATTTCTATGTTCATTAATAATTTCTGCTGCTATGATATTTTCTGGTTACTCAACATTAACACCTGAATCAGTCTTTAAATAGTTATCGTAATTTAAATATTTGTTGTAATTTCTAAATTACATTCTAAATTGCCTTACATTCTAAGATAACACCTCGACTTTGTGTTGTCTTTTGATAAAGCCGGTCCAGATATTTGTTTAAACTATCCCGCGGGTCTCATGTCCGCTATCTGCGGCTTTATTGTTTATTTTTTGCAATCGAGTTATTGTATATATTATTTTCGTGTTGCTTCGTAGAAATAATAGCGTACACAAACTGATTATAAAGTCGATTGAACTGAGCGGATAAAAAGTATTGGACACCATAGAAACTTTGAACCTCGGTAAATGTGTTTTTTGTTGCAGTTGTAGTCTTTGAGAATGATTGAGATTCGGAATGAAAGATAAAAGCGGGATGCCCTTTAAGGGAATGCTAAACGATTTGGCAAGATGACGTAGACTTTTGCGGGTACCACGAAATACAGTTTAGCTGCCCAGTCGACAAAGTGAGATTTTTCCGTATTATGAGCACAATCTAACCTGGAACCTGTTTAATATGTAATCAAAATAATATGCATACGTAATGCAACTACATACAGTGGCGAAAAAAGTCTACAAAAGCTCTGTTCGAAGCAGAACGCCGTCTAAATAATATCTTTTGTATTATTTTAATAATAAAAATCACGACGTTGTGATTGTTATAGATAATAAGGCTCTTCTGTAACGCCCCGAAACAAATTCTTCATAAATTTTAGTTCTGCAAAGTCAGTAAGGAGACCTTTCTATGAAAGTCCTAACAAGCATGGATTGAAGATACAAAGATTCCGCGCTATATTATTTTTTAAAATAATACATATTTTGTATGTAGACTTTTGTGCGCCACTTTGCAAGTATAGCAGTCAACTTATTATTTCGTTTTATAACGCGACTTGCATTACAGTTACTTGATACGATGACACCCTTTGTCGTTACAGTTACATTGAGCCATTTATCTTGTTGTGCCTGGCTTCATCAGAATTTTACAAGCCCGCCCGAATACCTCCCCCCCACCCACCTTTTCTTTTTGTTGGGGGCTGACCCGGGAAATATCTTGCATACATGTGTACGTTACTTATGCATGTGTGTAACACACACACACACACACACACATTCCTACCTCACCACAGTTAAAAGTGGCGCCCTTTTCAGTGTCCTCTCCACACAGCGCTTTCTTCTTCTCTTTCTCTCTCTCTGTCTCTCGGTCTCTGCAGCCTGGTTCGTTCCCGCCTCTCAAGATTAGTTCGTTCCCGCCCCACCCTCTCCCTTTCAGCTCTGAATTGTGTTTGCTGAATTATTTGCTCCAAAAAAACAATCAAACAGTGAAAGAGAGAGAGGAGAAAGAGAGAGAGAGAAAGAGGAGCGCAGTAATAGCTTCGGGAGGGGCCACCATCTCCCAGTCTCCACTCTCCCGCCTGCTGGCTAAGCAGCCCATAAGCTGTAACTGTAAAGCGCTTAGCAAAAAAAGGGACAACCAGGACCTATGCAAACAGCCCCCGTTCCCCGCTCATGCGCGAGCGCTCTCTCTTCTGTTTGCTTTTTCCCCCGTCCCCCCCTCTCCACCCATTCTCTCTTATTCTCTTCCTGACCATCTTTAATTCGCAGCTCACTTTTTCTTGCACACACACACGCACGCACTAACACTTCGGAGCGTTGTCTTTAATCGATTTGTACTTCTTGATATTTACATCACCCCCTCGACTGGCCCACAAGACTCTCAGCCCTTTGACTGTCCTCCTCTACACACTCCTACATAAGCTGGGGCCCTTCGGATCCCCTCTCTCCTTATTCCTATAAGCTGAGCCTATTGAGTCGCCCTCTCGGCCCTTCGTTCTTCACTTCACACATGACTTCCACTCCTACATTACTTTCGTAGACCTTCGCATTCTCTCTCTCCCCACCTATCTGTTTAAATTTGCGTGTGTGTGTGTGTGTGTGTGTGTGTGTGTGTGTGTGTTTTCTCTCTCTCTCTCCAAAAATGTCTATCAAATGCTTGCATACTCTGATTGGATATCTAAATCCTGAATCCATGCCCCCAGCCCCAAAAGCTAAGGCGAGGCATTCAGCTCGAGCACCAGCTCTGCTGGAGCCCTGCTGAAGCCCTGCTCCACTCCCTTTTTTGTGTCCCTTGTGTCATTCGGTTTTGCTGCTTTTTGCCATTTACAATTTATATAAAGTTATTTCTTCTGCTGCTGCGTCCTGCTCCTCTGCCGCCTGCCGCCTGTACTGCTACTTCCCCTGCTGCTGCCTGCCTGTTCCTGCTCCTGCTCCTGCGCCCTTCTCTTCCGCTGTCCTGGAGCAAAACATAGTGGTCTAGATCCAGCTGAGAGGGAATACATATGAATGTGTGTGTGTGAGGGGGAGTATGGGTGCTGTGTGTGTGTGAGGGGGAGTGACAGAGTATTTGTTTAGCGGTGGGGGGAAGAGTGTGCGGGTTGCGGTTCGCTAATGGGCAATTTATATCACTTTTAATGCCCAGCAGCAAAATCAATAAAATGCCCAACATCTTTTTACATAAATTAGTCCTGGGTTCAGGAAAACATATCCATACATATGTATGTATTGTGTGTATGTTTGTATGACGATTGTTTCTCTGATTGTGTGCGTTTACAGCTCAACTGTACTTGCATAACTCACACGAACACCCAACCACTCACCCGCCCACCCACACACAAAACAAACCCATTCTTACAACATTTTCACATCCACTTCTCGGGATTTGTATTTGTGTTGAAGTTTGTGTTCCATTCAAGGGTTAATGCTCGCTCGCTCGCTTGCTCTTCCATGCTGCTGCTGCTGCTCATCTCTGCAGAAATTTGTTTTGTCCCGTTAGGACCAACAACAATAACAGAAAGTGTTTACTTAGCGACACTGTTAGAATGATAAGAGAACACTGTTAAGGCACTGTTAAACTTACAGCAGCAGCAGCATCATTTGGCAAGGGGAGGGGATGTACTGTACTGCTTAGCAAGCAGTGTGTCCTGGAAGGCCAAGGCCTTGGCCCAAGCAGTCCCGTTTCCAGCGATCCCCATGGGTGCAGTAGATACTGGAATACAACAATGAAGAAAGCTTCCTTGTTAAAAAAAAAAAAAACAGGGACAAACAATAAGAATTACCTTTAAACCTTAAAACCTTACCTTTGGACCTTCCTTCTTCCCATTCATTTCAACCGATTTAATTTCTATATATTTCCTGCAATTTCAGGTGAACGATAGACTTTGGAATATTGTCCGTGGCAGCAACTGAAGAAGATCATCAACAAACAACAAGAACAACATCAACCACATGGTAATTGCCCCACCAATTCCCCCAGCCAGCCAGCTCTCGGCAACAGCTCGATTAAGTGACACCTCCACTTCCACTTGCCTTTTTCGTTTGTTGTAGCCACGCTCAGTGAAAGCAGTCGACAGCAGCAACAACAATATGTAGGCGGCACACAGCAGCAGCAGGTGCAACAACAACAACAACAACAACAGAATTCAATTCAAGAAAGATTCAAGAACCAGTAGCACCGTCCCATCCACAACTATAAGAACACACTGTTTAATACAAAATATACCACACGGAGGAGGAGCAAAGAGAAGGATTTTCAACATCGGAGTCCCGGACAAGCATGCAGCACGTGAGCGCTGCCAGCTCGGTGCCATCAGTTGTAGCCCCGGTCGTGACCACTGGTGGAACCACCATCACCCTCGGCGGACCGCCGCCCTTGCCTAAATCTGAGAACAAAGAGGATGGCAAACCGCCGCACGGCATAGAAATGTACAAGGTTAACATTGAGGATATCTCCCAGCTGTTTACATACCACGAGGTCTTTGGAAAGATCCACGGCGATGTGGTCAATCATCAGCTGGCGGCGGCGCATGGCGGGCAACTGCCGCCGCCACCACCCCTGCCACCGCAGACGCATGCCGTGAGTGCAGCGGCAGCAGCGGCTGCAGCATCCACCAATAATGCCGCTGTGGCGGCTGTAATGGCATCAGCGAATGCTGCTGCAGCAGCAGCGGCGGCCGCTTCGGCGGCGGGAGGCAACGGCCTGCCGGTGGCGACGAGCTCCGGCGGCCAGCAGGGCAGCGCTACGGTGACCACGACCAGTTCGACGGCGAGCAGTGGCAGCGGCAACAGCGGTAGCGGGGGCACCACAACCACGGCGGGTGAGTTGCTTATGCCTAAAATGGAGGGCGGCATTCATGGCGTGGACGGGCAGTCGACCGTGGCGCTGGCCCCAGACGGGACGCCCATTGCGACGGGGACCCATGTGTGCGACATTTGTGGCAAGATGTTCCAGTTTCGGTATCAGCTGATCGTGCACCGTCGCTACCACAGCGAACGCAAGCCGTTCATGTGTCAGGTGTGCGGACAGGGTTTCACCACGTCGCAGGACCTGACACGCCATGGGAAGATCCACATCGGTGGCCCCATGTTCACCTGCATCGTGTGCTTCAATGTGTTTGCCAACAACACCAGTCTGGAGCGGCATATGAAACGTCATTCCACGGACAAGCCATTCGCCTGCACCATTTGCCAAAAGACCTTTGCCCGCAAAGAGCATCTGGACAATCACTTTCGCTCGCACACGGGCGAAACGCCCTTCCGTTGCCAGTACTGCGCCAAGACGTTCACGCGCAAGGAGCATATGGTTAACCATGTGCGCAAACACACGGGTGAGACGCCACATCGTTGCGATATTTGTAAGAAGTCCTTTACGCGCAAGGAACACTATGTTAACCACTACATGTGGCACACTGGTGAGTGTGATTGATTGGTGGGGGCGGACAATGCGAGCGGCGAGCGCCAAAAAGACCAAATACCAAATACCATAAAAAAACAAGCCAAATACCAAATACCAAACCAAACCAAACCAAATACCGAATACCAACAAAAACCATACCGATCAAAATATCAATTCAATTCAAATATCGAATATCAAAAATATCGAGTTCAGAGCCAAGTCAAAAGTCAAATCCAGTTCGAAATTATATCCAATCCATATATCTATATAGAGTACAAGAACTACAACAGCCATCACCACATCACACCAACCAAGAACCAAGAACCAATCTATCAATATATGTATCAATATATCAACCAATCAACCAGCCAACCAATACCAATCTTGCAACATGCACCGTCAAAATTCAAATATTAAACAATCAATAGCTTCATCGTGCGTCCTCCGTCTGTCGTCCTCCTTAGACTCTTTCTCTCTCTAATATCTCTATCTCCCATCGCTTGTGCTTTGTCTTCCTTTGAGCCCAGCCTCCCAGCTTCCTACTCTCCTCCTTATCACAGTCCTCCACTGAATGTACTCACTAACGCTTCAGCTAGATGTACGGACGGTTCTCTGTGCCCTGTCCCAGGGGCAGCAGGATCATCCGTATATTATCCTGCAAAAAAAATATATATAAACCTCACGCTCACTCGCTCATACCGCTCATAACATTATCCTTAAACCCCCACCAAATCATATCTCCATCACACAATCCCCAAAACACCAACAACAACAACAACAACCAAGAACACAACCACATTCCTGTGCTCTGTTTCTGCAATCCATCCTGCATTCCACACACCGATCTTTATTTTATGATCCACTCCTCTCCACTGATCCACTGATTCCACTGATCTGCACTCCCAATACATTCCACTCTACACCATTGAAATCGACTCCTGATCTCCACTCTCCACTCCATTGATTCTCCACTTTACTGATTCCTCCACTCCATTGAATCTCCTGTTCCTCTCCTGTTCTCCTGATTGATGCCTGTGTAACTACGATCTCTCTCTCTCTCTCTGTCTCTGCTGTCAAACAGGGTGCCCAATGTAAATTAATAAAAAAAAGAATAAAGTTCGTTGTTGCTGCTTGTCGATTGCCAACGTCTCTGTGTAACTGCGACATTGGTACACACATACAAACCCACACATACACACACACGCGCGCAATTGGAGACAATTTCTCACACACAGACACACATGAACACAAAGCTTTTATAAATACATATATGTACATACATATAGGGCCTCTGTAACAGTTCAGGAGGCTTTTCTTCGCAAAAAATATCAACTCAAGAAAAGAGAAAGAACTTCACGTTCGAAAAAAACCAAAAGCATCCTGAAGATAGAGTAGAGTAGAAACAGAGCTGACAGGCACACATCCCACACACATCCACACCACATGCCAACACATCCAGACATCCACACATCCACACACCACACACCACACATATATTGCATATCCACAAAAGACCACCACGCCCACGTCCATATGCCCGAATCGCCAGCAGAGCCTCCGTTCGCTTCGTTCGAACCCAACGAAAGCCACGGCGCCAGTTTCACACACCACCACACATTTAGTAGTAGCGGTGCGGGGCGGGAGGGGGGTATACCAAAATTTTACTTTTTTCTATGATTATTAAATGTTTATTTGCAAAAAGTTCAAAAACGTAATACAAAATCTAACGAATTGAAACCTTAGAAGAATACTCGTTATACCTCTGTTCCATTAGAAGCACATTCACATTCGCAGATTCCCGCGTTCACGAGTGAATGGCAATAATTTTTCTGTTTTCAAGAATCACAATATTCCTCCCGAAATCGCATTACAGCTACTAGTTGTATTTGTATCCTAAAAAATTTGGAAATTTTCGATCTATATTAATCTAAAAAATTGTTTGTATTTTAAATGTTGCTAAAAATGGCAACTAAAAATTCAGATTTTCTAGTCTCTAGTATCCATTCGCTTATGGGAAATTTTACAGCTTCAGAATGTGGAACGCTAGTGGAACCGGGGTATATATAAGAGAAAAGAGAACAAACAAGAAGGAAAGAAGTTTTTGTGTAACAGCACAGTGCTTGCTGATAAAAGAAGCAAACCCAATACCCTATACATTTCTATTCTGTTACCCCAATAACCACAGGTCAAACACCGCATCAGTGCGATGTATGCGGAAAGAAATACACGCGCAAGGAGCATCTAGCAAATCATATGCGATCGCACACCAACGAGACGCCGTTCCGTTGCGAGATCTGTGGCAAGAGCTTTAGCCGCAAGGAGCACTTCACCAATCACATACTCTGGCATACAGGTAAAGAGACAAACCAAAGAACCGAACCACACCACACCACACGCTAGCTCCTAGAACATTGATTCCCGATATCCCCCCCTTATATACATATGTAGCTGCTAAAGGTTCAACTCTGTAAACAAAAATAAAATATAAACACCATACGCTTTGACACGCAAACAAACACACAGAAGTCGACGGCGCACGATTGGTGCACGAGCAGCAGCGATAACGAACTCTCAAATTAGGGATGGGGTGAAAAGAAGAGAAGTCGATTAACCGATTCGATTCGATAACCGATTACCGATTACACCACATATCCTTGATCATATTTACAGGATGTATAAGAGTTATAATATTGTATCTTGTCATGCCACATGCCACATGCTACAGCCACACACACACACATATACGCATTCTTCTCCCCCATCGCCAAGGAGATGTGACGTGTATCGTACTGCACTGCCATGCACCCGTCTGTGCCATGACCAGCCCTGCCTCCGCCCTGACTTGAGGGTTAATGATGAATGATTACTAATCTCTAAACATTTTCTTGATATCTCCTCACACTTTTGCCACGCAAGCAGGCGAGACGCCGCATCGGTGCGACTTCTGCTCCAAGACGTTTACGCGCAAGGAGCATTTGTTAAATCACGTGCGCCAGCACACGGGAGAGTCGCCTCATCGCTGCTCCTACTGCATGAAGACGTTCACGCGCAAGGAGCATCTGGTCAATCACATACGCCAGCACACGGGTGAGACACCGTTCAAGTGCACGTACTGCACGAAAGCGTTCACGCGCAAAGATCACATGGTTAATCATGTACGGCAACATACAGGCGAATCGCCGCACAAGTGCACATACTGCACCAAGACGTTCACGCGCAAGGAGCACCTAACGAACCATGTGCGTCAGCACACGGGCGACTCGCCGCACCGTTGCTCCTACTGCAAGAAGACATTCACACGGAAGGAGCACCTGACGAATCATGTGCGCCTGCATACGGGCGACTCGCCGCACAAGTGCGAGTACTGCCAGAAGACGTTCACACGGAAGGAGCACCTCAACAACCATATGCGCCAGCACTCAAGCGACAATCCGCATTGCTGCAACGTTTGCAACAAGCCGTTCACCCGCAAGGAGCATCTGATCAATCACATGTCACGCTGTCACACCGGCGATCGACCCTTCACCTGCGAGACATGCGGCAAGTCCTTCCCCCTCAAGGGCAACCTGCTCTTCCATCAGCGCAGCCACACCAAGGGCCAGGAGATGGAGCGTCCGTTCTCCTGCGAGAAGTGCCCCAAGAACTTTATCTGCAAAGGTGAGTGGTGCGCCTATGCCGCCCAAAGTGTGTGAGCACGCGAGACGTGGCGTCAGCATAGTGTCCCCAGCCCCAGCCGTACACCCACAGCCCTGCCCTAGTCCCCAGTGTCCTACCTCCCACAGTACCCTCACAAACGAAAAAAAACAAGGCAGTGGCCAGTGGTGGGGGTCGTTTCCACAGTTCTAAGGGTTGAGATCGGTACCAATGTCGCACGCGGCACGTGCATCTCCCCTGTTGCCGCCGCATGGCCGCTCTGTGGAAGCGATCCCCCGGCTGCAGTAATCGTAACACAGAAAAACAAACAGAAAATGAAAAATGAATAAAACGAGAGCCCAATAGCCGTTTTCGAAATTCAAGATCCTCGCAGATCACAGATCTTCATGTCGCTTCCATTGTCCGTTTCGCAGGTCACTTGGTCTCGCACATGCGCTCCCATTCGGGCGAGAAACCACACGCGTGCACTCTGTGCAGCAAGGCTTTCGTCGAGCGCGGCAATTTGAAGCGCCACATGAAGATGAATCACCCGGATGCTATGATGCCGCCACCACCCGTGCATCCGCATCCGCAAATACCGGCTGGTGTGCTGACGCAAGTCAAGCAGGAAGTGAAACCGATCATAAGTGAGTCGGCATACACGACTGCGCTAGCGCAAGCGAGTCCCAATGTGCCCAACTTATTCGGTTCTCCTACCGTTTCAGTTCCCCACCACTCGTCGACCACGATGCACACCATCCAGCAGATCACGGCCGGTGCCGCGAGCGGCGCGGGTGCGGTCCAACTGACGCCGGGTCTGGTGCCGCTGGTCACCTCGACGCTGATTTCGCATAACGCTGCCGCCCAGCAGCAGTCGCAGAAGCAGCAGGCCGCTCAGCAACAGGCTGCCGCTGCAGCGGCTGCCCAACAGCAGGCAGCCGCCCAGCAGCAGGCGGCGGCGGCAGCCCATCAGCAGCACCAGCAACAGGTGGCGGCTCAGCATCAGCAGCAGGCAGTGGCCGCCCATCAGCAACAGCAGCAGCAGCTCCAACAGCAGCAGCAACTGCTGCAGCTCTCGATTCAGCAGGCTGCCCATCACCATCAGCAGCAGGAGCAGCACCGTCAGCAGCAGCATCAACAGCAGCAGCAGCAACACCATCAGCAGCAGCAGCAGGGCCACCCGCAGGCGCCCCCACCGCCGCAGCAGCAGCAGCAGCCACCGCCACAGGTGCCTATCGCCTTGATCAGCGATCCCAGTGCCCTCGCCCGTGCTGCCATGCAGCTGCAGCATTTGCCGGCCAATGTCGAACAGCATCCGGTGGTTTACTAACAGTAGCCCCCCCTCCTGCACGGCTATGCTCCCACCACAGCCCACAGTAGTACCCACAGTACCAGCAGCAGCAGCACCACCACCTCAACACTAACCACAACGTCGACGGCGGCGTGGTGAGAGCTGAAGCAATCAGCATCATTGATCCGCACCCCCCATCCCATATAAGCAGCTAGTTATACAATAGTTTTTAACAGCGCGCTGGTTACGCGTACGCGTAGATTACAGAACAACAGGACGCTGTATCCTGTATTCCTGCAGTCTTCCTTCTCTCTTTCGTCTCTAAATTTCCCGCCAATCCTATATTCAATACGTCATCCACACCTTCGTCTGCTTCCGCCGCCAGCTTTAACGTGCAATACGAATCATCTCATAGTTTGTTCTCGCCCCTCGGTCTCTATCTCTCTCTGTGTATCTTTAATGCTTTGGGCGCTTAGCGTCCATTTTATTCCACGTGTTTTCAACATTTCTGAAATGTGTGCAAGGCGGCGGTTTGCGCGATTTTGTTGTCAGGATCGTGTTTGGTATTAGGAGAGGGGTTTTCCATTTAGCTGTGCTAAATCTATCCATCGGACTTCACTTTTTTCCCACTTTTTGTGAAACCTTTCACCTGGAGAGTGTGTCTGTAACCAGCAGCAGAAGCGCGCCTCATCATGTATTTTATATTGTGTTTTGACTAAGTTATGATTATATTCATATAGAGAGCGATTCATAGAAGCATCCTCATCAAACGTAACCATATGCAGATACACATACTATACATATAATTATCTTATGTATAAATTATAGTTTGTAAATAACACGCATCAGAATCCTTGGAAATCGATCGAAAGTCTACAATCACACATGTATTAGTTTTGCATTTTCCAAGGCGAGAGAATCATATATGTAACACACACTTTCATCGTATATACATATATACATATATATATATATACATATATTATTAAACCCCCGCAGTGGATATGCGGGGGCCCCTAAAACCCCAGTTTTAATATCATTAATAACCCTCTGCTGATGATTTTGAGGATGAATGATGAGATAAGACGCATATTGAGCGTACGATTACGATATACATATACAGAAATATGACGAGGAAAGTCTAGGGATAAGTCAAAAGCAACAAAAACTAATGAGAGAAAGAGAAAAGAATAAGGAAAACAACAAATTATTATATTTAATGTTAGTTGAACTACTAAAAGTAATAATTGAGGAGGCAGGATGGATAATGATAAGATTGAGTACGAGATGAGGATCGTACGGCAGTGGACGATCGAGCGGATGAGAAAAATGGAGGATCTGTAGATCGAAATAGATTTTAGTTGGGCGTGTGCCGCCCGCTATCATTATGATTAAAATTACGATTACAATTACGATTATGATATATGAATACTAAAACCTATAACAACAAGTTATTACCCCACTATTAAAGTTAACAACAACCACAACCACAGTCCCCGAAAGAAAAAAACAACCAACAACCCATACCCCCGCATACATATATACATCTATAGTATATATATGACGACTAGGCACAACTCTAAAATTATAATTAATTATAACCCTATAAACTGTGCTTATGTTGAAAACAGTTGAAAAACAACCACACAACAAGAACACGTTGAAACGAAAGCGAAAACAAAGCGAAACGATAATGAAGAACGCCCCAAGCGCCACAAGCAAAACAACATATCTGCTTTAAATTTTACAAAAACAACAAAAAAAAAAACAATATGAAAAATCGAAAAAAAATATATATATACAAATACAAAACTATTATTAAAGATGAGTCAACATTTTAATTATTTAAAGAAGAAACACCCCACACAAACACACACACACACATTATGCTTCCTTTTAAATGCAACATTTTATACATTTAATTTTTTTAATGGATTAAATGCTTGATATACAATTTTAATATAATTTAAAAATCTGTAATTGTACCACAAATAAACGGCAAACCTAACACTGTTTGTTTGACGACATTTTAAGATGCAATTTCGTTTTATTTAATTGTTTAATTTTTAAAAATAATTTTAATACCGAATATCGACAGACAGCAAAGTGAGAGTTTTTTAAATACACTAAGAATGCAGGGAACAATTGAAAATTGTAACAAACAAAAAATTAACAAATCATTTCATCATATGCAAGATGTTCTAAGCTAAGTTTTAGTGCGAGACTTTTATTTTGAAAGATTTTAGTTTGTCAATTTTGGAATTAGATGATTTTGGCTACAGTATAAACCCACGTAAACACACACACACACAGTGACACTCGTATGTATTGATGTAGTCGTTTATGCGTGTTAGTTTTTGGTGTTTTTTGAATTTCTGGTGATGTGTATAGAGCGCAGTTTATAGAATGCATATAGAGTATATACATACATATATATTGTACGATTATTAACTAATGATATAACGTGTAGCAAGCGAAGGCAATTTTAAGTACCAACCAGAAGAAATTCTATTGTGTGGCAATATTAAAAACGAATGAAATGGCAAACATTAAGATTTATTTGTAAGTTGCGTAGTGAATAAACGTGAGAATAGTAATAACAGTATGCCTCTCTATCACCCCAAACAAACATAAACACTCTCGAACATATTGATTATTAACAATTAACCGGCAAAGTGCTGTAAATGTTTCCTAAACGCAGCGGGAAGTCTTGGGAAGAGGAAAGAGGGAAGAAGGAGATTTGAGAAAGAAAGCATACGCTTGGAATGCCCCCATAAATTAACATACAATTTAGAAGCAACAAACAAACAGTAACAATACTAAATAGAAACAATAATGTACTATAAATCAGATACAATACAACACTATATATACCTAACAACATATGCCTATACGACAGAAATTGGACAACAAATGAAATGCATATATATATATATATATATATATACGAATATATATTATATATAGAATATATATTGTACAAGTTACGAGTAAAATGTAATTAAAATTGATGACGTAGTAAGCACTAAACAAAAAAATAATAAAAAAGCAGCAAACAACGCGCAGCATAAGCATACAAAAAAAAAACCAACTAAAAAATTATTAAAAATAAAGAAATTTAAATTTTCAGAGTTCGTTTGGAGAGAAAGCCAGAGAGCACTGGCTATTTGTAGTGTATTGTAATTTTTGCAATCCTTCGCAGACAATACCGTATTTTACAATCAGCATACGGTCGTCTAGCGCACGGGGTATCCTAATTTTTTTGTGGAAGCCAGAGAAGAAATTGATATCATTATCAAGAACTGATTGTTTCAGATTTGGAAAGATCTGATCGAAATCAAACTAATATTTATTTAAATAGTAAGTATAACTGCTATGGAGCATCCATTGCTTCGAAAACACTGCAGCTAAACTACATATTTTGTAGTTTATTATAATCTTAGAGTACATGAATATATTATCTTTTCTTCATCATTTATTTATATTTAATCAAAATCGGCCTACTAGTTGTAGAACTCAACTCAACTACAAAGACCACCGACCGACCACCTGTTGTTTATTATTCCCACAATAAAACCCTTCTGGGTCGTTAACTGTGATAGAAGTCGAAGAGGTTGAGCCTTATCTTTTGGAGATTATAATTATTATTTATTATGTTCACAGTTGTAATATTGCTTAAACCAGCTTACAGATGCCGTAGGAACAATCGGCTTGTATTTTATTGAACCATATAATCTGCAAAGGGGTTACCAATGAATGTTACCTGCCTCTTCCTTATATAATATATGTGTTTTAATTGCATTGCATAAATCCGCAGAAATCTAATCTCTTTCAGAAAATATATTTTGTATGGTTCATTGGTAAAATCATAAAATTGAAAGAATAGAATACTATTTTCGTAATTTTACTGCATTTTCCTATACATATAGCGGATTTCTATACAGCGTGGTTTGTCAAATCAAAATAAATGGAAGAGCAGAGCCTCTAAATTGAATATAAATTTCTTAAAATTTTTGTAGCACAGATTTCAGCGAAAGTAGAAAATTAACATCAATTTAATTAATAAAGCAGTTCCAAGTAGGCCACAGCTGTGGCGATATTCGGGCAACTATCGAATGGGTTTTCCATCTCCAAAAGGCAAAAGTAATTTAGGTAGGTAGGCGAATTCTCCGCCCGTTTGGCAAACCACCCCTAAAAGGACTTCTGACCGTCCTGTTATTATGGATAGAGCGCAGCGATCATCTGGCAATGGCAACGGCGTAGTTTCAGTTTTGAAAATGCTCTGAGCCTGAGCAGAAGAGCAACAATGACGACGACAACAACAGCGGACACAGGTAAGCAGCGCAGCAGCAGTGCAAAAAACCGAATAACCTTGGAAGGATATAAAACACCCATTAACCCCACACTCCACTCGCATGTATCTGTATCCCATGCAGCAGCCCCCACACCCGCCTCCGGCTCCGCCTCCCTGCTGCAGCTGAACGATGACGTATTAGCCCTAATCATACGGCACCTGAATGTGTACCAACAATACGAGCTGGGGAAGCTGCATCGTCGCCTGGAGAACATTGTGCAGATGCTGTGGCGGACACGAGTGAGGAATGTGGCGCTGCACGATGAGATGTTCAAGCGTTCCAGCCCCAATTCGCGTCAGTTTCTGGCCTTTGTGCTGACCCTGGCACCGCACATGCAGCGTTTGAGCTGCCAGCGGCTGGATGTGAGGCGGCTTCGCCTGTTGAGCAGCCATACCCTGTCCGGGGTGACCAGCCTGGAGTGGCTGGGCGATGGCCATCGCCGTGGTCGTGCCCGCTTTGTGGACGAGGATGTGCGCCTGCTGCGGCGTGTGTTTCCCTCGCTGCGAAAACTCAAACTCCGTGGATGCCAAATCACTGGAAAGTATCTGTGCGATTTGGAGTTACTCAATGAGCTCTGCCTGGACGACTGCCAGTACCTGGAGTCGCAGCACTTTCGGGACCTTTTCCGACAGCTGAAACTACGTAAATTTGATATTATGGAGGACTGCGATGAGGTCAACTGCTGCGACCTGGTGGACCTGCAGCTGTGCCCAACGCTGGAGCACATCAAAATTGCCGACTACCATCTGTGCATGGAGTCGGACATCACCCAGCAGCTGCTGCAGCTGCCACGCCTCAACAAGCTGTCCATTTACTCCAAGAACTTTGTCTTCGATGTGCTG